AGTTCTGCTGCTGCTGCTGTTCTTGGTAGTTCTGCTGCTGCTGCTGTTCTTGGTAGTTCTGCTGCTGCTGCTGTTCTCGGTAGTTCTGCTGCTGCTGCTGTTCTTGGTAGTTCTGCTGCTGCTGCTGCTGTCGCTGCTGCTGCTGTCGCTGTTGTTGCTGCTGCCGTTGTTGGCGTTCCTCCCCCTCGGTAGTCTCCTCGTAGTGCTCCTCTACGCGCGTCTCCGTCGTCGTCTCCGTCGTCTCCTCGTAACCCGGGTTCACCCTTCCCATGCGGGGTGGCTTAGTGCGGTGGGGACGAGCCGGAACTCTGGGGCCTGGCACGGCAAGGGCGGTTGCATTCGCTCTGGCTTCGTTTGCTTCCCGTATGGTGCGTTCCTCTGTTGTCTCCGTCGTTCTCTGTAGAAAATCGCACGTGTTCGCAACGTTTATACTATCGGGCACTTATTTTAACTTAACTTATTATCGTTATGAGATATAGTTATTTGCTTAACACTTTTATGTGTTGATAAGTCAAATATTTTGCTTGCATATAATTCTTCTACTGCGACTGCTGCTACTGCTACTGCTACTGCTGCTGTTGTTGCTGCTACTGCTGCTGCTGCTACTGCTGATACTACTACTACTACTACTACTACTACTACTACTACTACTACTACTACTACTACTACTACTACTACTACTACTAATATTAATAATAATAATAATCATCATCATCATAGTAATAAATAAATAATAAAAACAACAATAATATTAATCGACAATTATTATTGTTATTGTTATTTACAGCAGTAGCAGCAACAGTTTTATGATCACAGCTGGAAAAATCCGTCACGATATCTCAAAAGATATGCGCATCAGTTTGAGTCACACTTAAAACAGACATCAACGTTCTCTCGCTTACGTGCAGCCAAGAGATTCCATGTCGACGACAATCACTCACCTGTTCTGTGGTCGTAGTCGTCGCCTCAGTCATGCCACCACCGCGACCACCACCCATCCCCCTCGCTGCGGCTCCTGCAGCCAGGGCTGATGGCATTGTAGGGATGCCAGCCGGTCCGCCTAGAGGCATGTCGAGCATGCTTCCACTGGCACTGGACTCGTGCAGTGAGGTGTAGTCGTGGCTGCAATGATATGAGAGAGGGCATATTATGATAAAACTACATATAACTAACATACATGAATATACAATATACATAGAAATATATAAATATAATCATAATATATAAGGCAATGGCATGAGTACGATGTCAATATGTTTTGTGCACGCCGCGTGATGCCTTCGTTGCGTTCTATTATCGCAGATACTATCGTAGCAAAGGTGTGTTTCATAGTTATTTAATAGTTTATCCATAGTTACTTTAGTTAATTAGTTATAATATAGTATCACTATCATAGTTATTTCAACTCTCGCGTTCACAGAGCACGCTTAGGTGAATACTCACCTGCGATGTCTCCACCATGTTGTATCTCTCCTGTCGTACCAGCCGCCACCCGGCTCCCTGTCCGGTAGTCGCTAGTCCTGCTCACGTAAGGCATCGACTCGGAGCGGCTGCGCCGTAAACGGTGCCATGCTCATCCCGCTCTTCAGGAAACTACACGTGGCCTCCTCACTCACGAGTTCCATAAGATGAGTGCCAGACGTTATCGGACACCAACAGGACACGTGAAATTCCGTATAGATAACGAAAAGAAGACAGCATAGCTCTCTATTATGTAGCCGAGAGGCACACATATATGTGGCTAATGATGAATCCTTTTTGTTTGTATCGATATATTGCACGGTAATTTGGTGATAAACCAAATTGAAGGACTAGAATACAAGCGGTGGTGTATATGTAATGGGATATCCCCCACATGTTGGCGATTGCAATTCCCCGACAGCAATGTAAAGTTGCCGTTAATTCACAGGTATACTGGTGAAAGGCCCATCTCCGTACCACACAACACGCACACATCAGCGGCGATTTTCACTCTAGCTCGATACCCGAGACTTGCGCAATGCGGATAAAAACAGCTGAAGTTGCTCGACGCGTCGCTGGCCGCCGCCACCCTGGCGAGCGCTGATCCGGAGGCCCGTCGCCTCGCCGCGAGCGCATAGTCGTGGTAGGCGCACTCGCAACTGGCCTGCTGCTCTTGCATGCATGCCTGATGCCTAATGAAACTGCTCGGACGAGCGCTGCGTTCGCGAGAAAAAAATCAGCCGTTGTTTAATTCGTGTAGGATCCAACGATATCATACAAAATCTTCTGGTCTCTCAAGCCTGACACAGATAGCATGATGGTGTCACAACCTGTAGACAGAATGATCGCACTCAAAGCACGCAAGGCACAGAATGGTTCACACTCTAAAACTGCAAAATCTATGAGATTCAGTAAAAGATAAAGAAGAGGGGTAGGCTCGAGATGTAAGGTCATACAAAACTAGCTCTACGAGAAGAATTCTAGATGATATTAATACCGCGTGCATGCTTTGTGGTTTTGCTTTTTTAACAAGACTGTGTGATTTTTTGGCTTCAGCGATGTGGCTTGGTCTTACTCCGCCACCAGCACGGCCTGCAGCTTCGGGAATGAGTGAGCGAGGAATTTCGCCTGCTGCTATCGACCAAACTCTCACACAAAACTTGCGAGCCATAGTATAGTTAATTATAAAATATATAATATATACACACGCGGAGGTATTGCTAGTGTAACCGCCCACCAAGTCCCTGCTCTTCTTCGTCTGAACCATACGAAAACGCAGCAACAACACATATAGACTTGAGGGATCGCGGTTAGCCATTATATAGTGATAACATACGACGAGAGAATAACTAGTAATCAGTCAACTTATCAATCTGGATGAATGCCAGCCATATAACCAGTAGCGAACTCACAATTAAAATACCACAACACACCGCATGTCGGCTAGATTTGCAATTTACAGTGGACACCACACACAGCATGTCTACATTCCAATAATCACGGTCACTAAATCGAGTCTCTCTAAGGCATCGCTCCAGCTCATGAGTCCCAGCGCAGTCAAGCAGAAGCAAGTAACACAGCAGAAGAGGCGAGAGCGGGTGCACGATGGTGGCGATGAGGATATCCCTGTACCGTCTTTTTGCAACAGGTCGCCCTCCACAGTCCTAACACCTGCAGCAAAGCACAGCCGTAATTGTGTTTTTGTATCGGAGCAGACAATTATAATTCTATTTTGTTTTATTTTGGTAGCCTATTAACGGAAACTTATTACAATTCAATAATTCAGCTAAGATATTCCATATAGGTTTAATACGATATTCATACGATATTCAATACTATATATGTTTTATCAGTAATGTTTTTGGTTGACATTGGATGTAGGTGTGCTTTGACTGCGCTATTATGGTAATATATATATATATATATACTATATATATTAAAATTTATATTAATAGATAGTCTCGCTCTATATCTATATAATATATATAATACATAGTTATATATAGTATATACCATAGTTAATATATATAATACATAGTTATAAATATATACATATTTATATATACTAATATACACTATTTCTTAATATATATATATTATAGTGGTATACCTGCATAGCGCTACTGCTCCGTCTCCTACGTAGCATTCCCCATTTCCATTACAGAAGCCCGGTGCGCAGGCTGCAATGAGCAACAGGACAAGTGTTTAAGTATCGCCTAGCTATGACAGACGAAGCTGCGTCAGTTCAACACATGCAGTAACAACCCGTGGGTCTTTCGCGAATGCTAAATTTGCTCGCCTACATCAGAATTACTTTCCTTCGTTATATTACATTAGACTTTACCATCCTTACCACCGCTATTTTACATATGGCAGGCAAGCACAGCTCACTCGGTTAAATCACTGCTTCTAAATTCCTATTCGCGTGTAGGTTTCAGACTTCTAGTGATGACAGTCGTCGACTCACCGACGCAGACACGTCCGGCCGCCAGTTCGTCGGTCGGGTCGCCGGCGTCGACGTATTCTGGCCGACAGTGGCAGCGGAACGAGCCGGGGGTGTTCTCACAGATGGCGTCCGGTGAGCAGTCGTGGTGGCGATCGTCCTCGGCGCATTCGTTCAGATCTGTAGCAGGAAGACAAGAGCAGTGACGCTCAGCGCAGCGTAGTGTTGTTGCGAGTGGATGCAGGGGTGGCTGGACTGCGGGTACTGTGTGTCGTCGTGTGGGATGGAGAGCGTGGGAAGGTCACTCGGTTTGAGTGAGGCTGTAGGTAAGTCTCGTGGTGTTGGGAGGGAGACTATAGGTTCAGGCTGTGAGTAAGTCTCGTGGTGTTGGGAGGGAGACTGTAGGTTCAGGCTGTGAGTAAGTCTCGTGGTGTTGGGAAGGAGACCGTGGGAAGGTCTCTCGGTTTGAGGGAGCCTGTGAGTAAGTGTTGTGGTATGAGAGGGAGAGGGCACTGTGGGAAGAAGACTGTGGGTAAACGTTGCGGTATGAGAGGGAGAGTGTGGGTAAGTGTTGTAGGCTATGTATGTGTGGATGGTCGGGTACGTGTCCTGTTACAACTGTGGACAAGGGGGAGACTTTAGGAATGTTTTGCGGCGAGTGTGTATAGAGGAGACTTTTGTTAAGTTATAAACAATCTCGGATATATAACAAACGGAAACGTAGAAAGAACACATCACCTCTATCACACCCACGCCCTCTATAAACAAGCTTCGCCAGCTAATCCCATATGAGGTGCTGCCATCTATATTCTTACCGGTCGGTCTCGCTATCTCGTCGACGTAGAGCTCCGAGTCGCCGACGCTCTTGTTCGTGCGATCGATGGACTTCATCAGCTCGTCTAAGATCTCGTCGATGTCTCCCGTAAAGTTTTTGGAGATGGTCACGGTCGCGTTCATGACGATGCTGTCCTCCCACGTCTTGTTCACGTCCTTCGAGTCGAGGATCTCGAAGATGTTGGCACCGATGTAGTACGGTGACAGGCCGGTCGTGTCGAAGGCTGAGTCCAGCTGCGTGAGAAACATGAAGAATGACTGCATGATGATTACGTAAAGAACGCGAAGAAAAGTAATTCGGCACTTATGTTATTCGTCGTTGACTTACTCGCTACTTAATTATTATCATTATCATTCGTGGCAATGGTAGTGATAGTGGTTGTGGTAGTGGTAATGGTAATGGTAGTGCTAGTGATGGTAGTGATTGTGGTATTGGTAATAATATTGCCATTAGCAGTTACATTGGCATTGGCATTGACAGGCATCGGTATTGGTATGGGTATAATTGGTATATTGGTATTATTTATTAATTATCAGTTATTTATTGTATATTATATTGTATATCGTATCTCTGGTGTCTCAGTTCGACTCGTTATGAATATTTCTTTGCTTTGATGTCAATTGAAGTATTTTGGTTTTGTCATCTACGTTGTATCACCGATAATAGAGCTAATGCGAACATGAGCCGCTAATATAAGCCATAAAACACTGTTAACACCAGTGATACGTAAGTCACGTATAGTTAATGCAGTGCTATTGCTGAGAGGGTCTATGTCTCCCAGGGTACTGCCGGAACGTACCCTGGGTACGGTCCGGTATACCGGAACGTACCCTGGTACTATCTAATATGGTTAACACCCAAGCCCCCTGTCCACTTTTATACCCACAAACTACAAGAGTAAAACCAAACTACGTTGTGCATACCCCCGGGGCACACCCAAGCCCCCTGCTCATTTTTATACCCACAAACTACAGCAGCAAAACCAAACCACGCCGTGCCCCCCCCCTCCCCAGTTGCTTTTTCCCATGGTGAACAGCATGTTCGTTTTAGACGCACCTCGCTCTGGGAAGCCAGGTTGTCGGAGCCGCCGATGGTCGAACCAGCGACGCTGTAGACAGGAATCGTCACACCCCCCGGGAAGCCCTCCGCGCGTGGCAGTGCTGATTGCTTTGACGGCTGCGGAGGCAGCGGTGGAGCGTGCACCTCTACCATCGTCGGTCCCTCGTATTTCAGAGCGGCCGCTGTAACACAGTTTTAGTTTAAGACAACCGTTTATGGAACAACATATGGAAGACAACCGTTATGGTTTATGGTTTATGGTTTATGGTTTATGGTTTATTGTTTATGGTTATGGTTATGGTTTATGGTTAATGGTTTATGGAAGACAACCGTTAGCTGGAATATACGACAAAATTCATGTATGAAACTCGTAACCTCGTAAAGTCTTCAAACTCCAAGAGACTATATGGAAGATGGAGATAGACACCGTTTAATTGTGAAGACACTGAATAAACGCTCCCCTGAACGCTTAATAATTAAACTATTTAAAATCCCATAGACGTAATTTGTAGATATACATCTAAATCTATGTAATCCTTTATTAGTGTCCATGTCTTTTGTAGTCGTGTCTGCGTGTGTGGTTTCTAATTGCAGTACAAATCTACACGAAAACTCTGACCATACCACAAGGTACAACAAGTTACTGTTCATAGTAAATGCGGGATAAATATGGAAATGCTTACCACGGCTGGTGGATGCTGCCGATCTCTGCATATTCTGCTGCTGCTGCATTTGTTGGTGCTGTTGCTGCTGCTGTTCTTGGTAGTTCTGCTGCTGCTGCTGTTCTTGGTAGTTCTGCTGCTGCTGCTGTTCTTAGATAATCCCATGTTGACGATTGCAATTCCAGCCCAATGTAAGTTGCGATGTATTCACAGGTCATATGTGGGCAGGGCATCTCCGGACACGCGCACACATAGCGGCGATTTCACCTTCTAGCTCGTACCGGACGTTGCGCTATGCGGGATAAACAGCTGGAACGCTTGCTCGGACGCGTCGCTGCCGGCGCCACCTGGCCGAGCGCCTGAATACCGCGAGCCGTCGCCCGCCGCGTAGCATGTCGTGGGTAGGCACTCGCACTGGCTGCTGCCTCTGCATCATGCATGGATCCGCTAATGAGACTGCTCGGACGAGCCTGCTGTTCGCTTGACTGAAAAAATCACCGTTTTTTAATTTCGTGTACGCATCCAACGAATCATACAAAATCTTCTGGTCATCTCAGCTACACAGATACATGATGCCGTCTAACTTGTGTACAGATGATTGCCATCAAAGCCAGGATTAGATGTTCATAATCTAACGCATTCTATGAAGATATATAAACAGATAAAGAAAGCGGGACTACGGGCTCAGATGTAAGTCTACAAAACTGCTTATGTGAGAACGGAATTCTAGATGATATTACTCCGTGCGTTGATGCTTTGTGCTTTTGCTTTTAAGACTGTGTGATTTATGCTTGAGGAGCATGTGCTTGGGTACTTACTCCGCCACCAGCACCGGCCTGAGCTCGTGGATGGTAGCGATGGAGATTTCTGCTCTGCTATGTTACTCTCCGGTTTGTAGGTGTAACCGGCCACCAAGTCCCTTCCTCTTCTTTCGTCTGAGCAAACGGACGCACAAACGATATGACGTAGCGCGCTTAGCCATTCTACCACTATATAACATACGGCGAGAATTAACTATAATCATAATTATTCATCTTTGATGAATGCGTCGTCTAACAGTAGCAACTCGACATTAAATACAATCTCAACATGCGCTAATGTACAGTTTGGAAACTTCACATGTCTAATTCAAGACATCAAGTTACCTAGCCATGCCCCAGCATAGTCCAGCGCAGAGCAGAGCCAGTAATAGTAGCACCCCCCCCCCCCTGACGAGGGGCACGCATGGTGGCGATGTAGGTGATTCACTGTACCGTCTTTTTTCACAGTGCGTCGCCGTACCACAGCCATAACACTGCAGGGCAAAGACGACAGCCGTATTGTGTTTTATGTACGGAGCTAGACATTTTAATCTATTTTTGTTTTATTTGGCTCAGCCTATTACGGAAACTTATTCAATTTCAATATGTCAGCTAGATAGTTCATTATAGTTTTATACGCTATTCAATACGATATTCAATACCTATTATGTTTTATCAAGTAATGTTTTGTTGACATTTGATAGTGGGGTTGTCCTTGACTGGCTATTATTGGTTATTTATATATATATATATATATATATATATATATATATCTCGCTTATATATATATATATCTATATATTACATATTATATATTATATTTACATATTTATATATATATATACATATTATATATATATACTATTATATATATATTATATCATATTTATTATATATAGTATATATATGGTTTATACCTGCATAGCGCTTACTGCTCCGTCTCCTACGTAGCATTCCCCATTTCCATTACAGAGCCCGCCGTGCGCAGGCTTGCCAATCGAGCAACAGGACAAGTGTTTAAGTATCGCTAGCTTGGACGACGAAGCTTGGCGTCAGTTCACACACTGCAGTAAACAACCGTTGGGTCTTTCGCGAATGCTAATATATTTGCTCGCCTACATCAGAATTACTTTTCCTTTTCGTTATATTACATTGACTTTTACCATCTTACCACGCTATTTTACATATGCAGGCAAGCCACAGCTCACTCGCGTTAATCACTGCTTTCTTAAATTCTATTTCGCGTGTAGTTTCGGACGTTTCATAGTGATGCACAGTCGTCAGGACTCACGACCGCTAGACACGGTCCGGCGCCATGTTCGTCGGATCGGCGTTCGTGCCGCGCTGTCGACGTTATTTCTGGCCGACTAGTGGCCAGCGGTAACGAGCTTGGGGTGTTCTCACGATGAGCGTCCGTGTGAGCATGTGCGTCGTGGCGATCGTCCTTCGGCGCATTCGTTCAGATTCTGTAGCACGGAAAGACAGAGCAGTGACGCCTCAAGCGCAGCGTCCGTGTTGTTGCGAGTGGATGCAGGGGTGGCCTGCGACCTGCGGTGTACTGTGTGTCGTGTCGCTGTGGGATGTGAGAGCGTGGAAGTCATCTGTGGCTGTAGGTAGCGTTGATGTTGGAGGGGATTAGTTAGCTGGTAAGTCTCTGCTGGTGCTCTGCATGGGATGGGAGGACTGATAGTTCAGGCTGTGAGTAAGTTCTTCGTGTGTTGAGGGGACACTGGATGGGACGTGGGAAGGTCTCTCGCGTTTGAGGGATGCCTGTGAGTAAGTGTTGTGGTATGAGGAGGGAGAGGGCACTGGTGGGCAGAGACTGTGGGTTAACGCTTGCGGTATTGAGAGGCGGATGTGGCGTAGTGTTGTATGGCTATGTATGTGTGTGAGTGGTCGGGTACGTGTCCTGTTACAACTGTGGGACAACGGGGCGAGACTTTAGGATATGTTTGTGCGGCGATTGTGTTAATAGAGGAGACTTTTGTTAAGTTATTAAACAATCTCGGATATATAACAAACGGAAATCGTAGAATTGCAACACATACCTCGTATCACACCCACGCCCTCTTATGAACAAGCTTCGCCAGCTAATCCCATATTGATCGGTGCTGCCATCTATATTCTTACGGTTCGGGTCTCCGCTATCTCCGTTCGACGTAGGCAGCTCCGAGTACGCCGACGTCTCTTGTTCGTGCGCATCGATGCTTCATCAGCTCGTTTCTAAGATTTCGTTCGATGTCTTCCGTAAACGTTTTTGTGGCATTTGGTCCACTGTGCCGCGTTCATTGACGATGCTTCCTCCCACGTCTTGTTCACCGTCCTTCCGATGTCGCGAGGATCCTCGAAGATTTGGCACCGATGTTAAGTACGGGTATGACAGCGCGGTCGTGTCGAAGGTCTGAGTCCAGCTGCGTGAGAAACATGTGAAGAATGACTGCATGGATGATTACGTAAAGACGCGAAAGAAAGTAATATTCCGCGCACTTATGTTATTCGTCTTGACTTAACTCGCAACTACTTAATTTAATTATCATTATCCATTTCCGTGTGGGCCAATGGTAGTGATAGTGTTGTGGTATGGTAATGGTTAGATGTTAGTGTAGTGATGTAGTGATTGGTGGTATTTGGTTAGTAATATCTGCCTTAGCAGCTTACATTGGCATTGGCATGATCAGGCCATCGCGTATGGCTATGGGTATACTTGTTATTGGTATTAATTTATTAATTATCAGTTATTTATTGTAGTATTATTATTGTATATCGTATCTTGGGTGTCTCAGTTCGACTCGTTATCTGATATATTTCTTTGCTTGATGTTCAGTAAGTCTTTGGTGTGTGTGTGCATCTACGTTGTATCACCGTATAATAGAGCTAATGCGAACCAATTGAGCCGACTAATATAAGCCATAAAAACTGTTAACACCAGTGATACGTAAGTCACGTATAGCTTAATGCAGTGCTATTTGCTGAGAGGGTCTATGTCTCAGAGGTACTGCCGGAACGTACCTGCGGATTACGGTCACGGTTATACCGGAACGTACCCTGAGCTACTAATCTAATTGGTTAGGGTTTAGGGGTAGGGTTAGGGTGGGCGTTCTTAGGGTATGTTTTAGGAGTAGGGCGTATTGGACTCCCTAGACTCGTTAGCTTGGAGTAGGCGAGGTTACAGTCCGGCATAATTAGTAGATTACCAGG